AAAAAATATATATGCAATGACAGGCAGCAAATCTTCCATTTCTCGTCAATCTCACATGACAAACACAGCAGCTGCTTCCAAACATGGTGTAAAACGGTGTAAAATGGAGCAAAATACAAACACATGGGTGCAAAAAAACAACCAGAGAAAAAAAACAAAACAAAAAAACCAACTAAATGCTTTCTTTTTCTCTTCTTCTCAATCCAAATAAGGAGACGAGGTCCATGCATTGATTAACAAGCCTCGTTTCTTTGCTTTCTTTGTCTTCATAAAGTATCATTTCTCAAAGAACTGAGAACACTTTCAACACGCTCAATGAATCAGAGAGAGACGAGAGAACTAAATTTGTCATGATTTCAGTTCCGTAGGAAAAAACAGTCTAGTAACATTTTCAAGTTTCCACTTCCACTTTATGAAACAGAATCCAACCTTCATTCTCAGAAAAAAAAAAAAGCGTCTTAAGCTTTCTGTGATACAATATTTTATGTAATGTACGATATAAATATTAATATTATAATACTGACTCAAGGCTCAAAATGACTGGCAAAAATCCTTTTCCTTCACATGTGGCAGACGTTAAGTCAAGGCTCACAAACTCTCGACCTGCGGAGCAATGGAGGCTCGCAGAACGGGACTTTGTCGCACTTTTCTGACAACAAAGTTTAGAGTTTTCCCTCAGGCAAAATAACTACGTAATGATTCTGTAACCACGTAATGATTCTGTAACTATGTAATGATTCTGTGACTACGTAATGATTCTGTAACTACATAATGAATCTGTAACTACGTAATGATTCTGTAACTACGTAACGATTCTGTGACTACGTAATGAATCTGTAACTATGTGACGATTCTGTAACCATGTAATGAATCTGTCAGACAGTGGTGATGGGCAAAATGTGTTAAGTTCTGTCACTGAGCATTTGTTAGTCTTTGTTAACTAAGTAATTATTAGCAGGACACTGTGCACAAGCAAGACTTCATGCAGACACATGCAGCGAGTGAGGAAGGAGGGAGGGAGGGAGGGAGAGGGTTAAACACTAGAGCGGAGGCTGAAGGGAGAGGGTTAAGCGTTAGAGAATAGGCTGAAGGGAAAGCGTTAAGTGCTAGAGAATAGGCTGAAGGGAAAGCGTTAAGTGCTAGAGAATAGGCTGAAGGGAAAGCGTTAAGTGCTAGAGAATAGGCCGAAGGGAAAGCGTTAAGTGCTAGAGAATAGGCTGAAGGGAAAGCGTTAAGTGCTAGAGAATAGGCTGAAGGGAAAGCGTTAAGTGCTAGAGAATAGGCCGAAGGGAAAGCGTTAAGTGCTAGAGAATAGGTTGAAGGGAGAGGGTTAAGCTCTAGAGTGGAGGCTGAAGGCAGAGGGTTAAGCGCTACACAGCTGGGCACTGGGACAACACAGGCACCAGACAGAGGAGCTAGACAGTGGGCTTCCACGAAGTGTGACGAGATAGAAACGATGAAAGAACAAAACAACGAGGGAACAAACGCGATAGAAACGATGAAAGAACTAAGAAACGAGTGAACAAACGAGGGAGGGAGATGAAAGAACGGAACGAGTGAACAAACGCGATAGAAACGATGAAAGAACAAAACAACGAGTGAACAAACGAGGGAGGGAGATGAAAGAACGGAACAACGAGGGAACAAACGAGGGAGATGGGAGGAGGGCGGAGGGAGAAACAAACGAGGGAGATGAAGAAAAGAAATAACGAGGGAGGGAGATGAAAGAACGAAACAACGAGGGAGATGGGAGGAGGGCAGAGGGAGGAACAACCCACAGCAAAGAGAGAGAGAGAGAGAGAGGACAATATCCAGACAGGTACGGATGTACAAAAGTACAGATGTACACACACACACACACACACAACGACGCTCAACACTCCAACAATCTAGGAACAAACAAAAAAACATGTTCACCTTGACCTTGAGCTCTAAGGGTCAATCATCATCAATAATCTATTTATAGTCATAGAGGCACCAGTCATCCCTGACCAAGTGCTGTTTTAGCCTAGATAAGTGTCAATCATCATCAATAATCTATTTATAGTCATATAGGCACCAGTCATCCCTGACCAAGTGCTGTTTTAGCCTAGATAAGTGTCAATCATCATCAATAATCTATTTATAGTCATATAGGCACCAGTCATCCCTGACCAGGTGCTGTTTTAGCCGAGATAAGGGTCAATCATTATCAATAATCTATATATAGCCATAGAGGCACCAGTCATCCCTGACCAGGTGCTGTTTTAGCCTAGATAAAGGTGAATCTTCTACATAAAATTTACAGGAAATAAACCATGTCGGGGTTTTGTTCACAGGTCAGCTCACTGTTAACTGTACAGGCCTATAAAAGTCCTTCATGAGTATCTCTGAAATTCAAGTTTAATTTCTTAAACATGTGATTTCATGTCCAATATGATACTACCTCAAGTCAAATTAAACATTTACTTCCCTCAAGTGAAACATTTTGTACTGTCAACTTAAACATTTACTTCCCTCAAGTGAAACATTTTGTACTGTCAAATTAAACATTTACTTCCCTCAAGTGAAACATTTTGTACTGTCAACTTAAACATTTACTTCCCTCAAGTGAAACATTTTGTACTGTCAAATTAAACATTTACTTCCCTCAAGTGAAACATTTTGTACTGTC